TGCTAGTGGCACCTACATCATATCACGTACACCCACTCAGCCCCGCCTGTCACCATCTCGTCACTTTCTCTTTCATAACCCTTCACTTGGATTTTATTCTCCGAATCCAGTAGCCTGTGCAGCTCTCGCTCTTCTGGAGTTCATTACTGTGAGTGGCACTGCCCATTTCTCAAACACACTCTCGATGGCTGCTACTAATGTGCCTGAGCTATTGGTTCTGCTCATTAACTCGAAATTTCTCTGTTTCAGCTCTGGGTCAAGATTCCACCATCAGGCATACCTGGATCCGTGTACGGGCACCGGTTGTGACTGGCAATATGCCCGTGGGGAAGCTACTGGACGTCAACAGGCCTTCTTTATCAACTTTAAAATGGACATAATGGCATTGATTGTCGAGAATATCCTCCGCACAGGCACAGTCGGTTTAGTCTGTCACAAAGTAATCAGTGAGCAAACCCAAACAATCACCTCGGTGTCCTAATTCTCAGCTCCTGGGACTCCTGCTGTCTTTTTGCCTTGAAAAATTCATCTCAAATTCCTTTGACTAATACGTCAATATTTCCTGAAGTAATGAATCCAAGGCTAAATCTTTCTCTGGCAAAAAAAAAAAAGAAGGAAGGGAGGGAGGGAGGGAGGGAGGGAAAATCAAAGTGTAATCAGCAATATCTGAGGAACAACCTGATGAATACTGGTTTCATTTCAGTGTTCCTTCTTCCGAATTCACTGCCCTTCAGCCCCTTCACCTCTACTTTGAAGATTTTTCTTCTCTCGATTCTCTGACAGTTTATCCTCCTGCATTGACTCTCAACAATGGTCTAAAGAGAAAGCCTAAGGGTTATCTTTATGCTTTGTGCTGTCTTCTTGTTCTTGGAGGTACCACACTTTCCCCGCGGCTCCAACTCTAAACAAAAAACATCCGAACAATCTCCAGCCCAAAGCTCTCTGAGTTCTCGAGCCCTGCATGCAGCTGCTTACTGATGCCACTGTGAGAGGACTAGGACCACATAAACACTAAACCCACACTGGCTCTGTGGCCACCCTCCCCATCTCACTGGCTCTCCATCTATCCCAGCTGGAAAGGCCGGAAACCTTTAAGTTGTTCCTAACAAACACCACATTCCTTCCCCACACCAAGTCCACTCACACCCGTGAACTTCTCCTCAAACATCTCTCAAATTCACCCACCAACGTCCATCTTTAACTTCTTCTTCCTTCTAAACGAATGCCACTCAAGGACAAAAGTCTAGTTTCGAGAACCTTCATATGGTTTCCTCTCTCCCACTTCTCTTCTGCGGCCAAGGCATGTCTTCTTCTTTTATTTTTTCCCCTCAGAACACTTCTTAGACACTTTCATCTGTTCATTTATTTAACTGAAAATCGTTCTTACTGGGAAAGGGTTAAGTAACACAGTAAGAGTCCTAGATTGTATAACTTGTCATCCTCCAAACACAGTAATCACATAAGAATGCACCTATGAGTGTATATTTACATGTCTTCTGTAAACACTACATATTTTCAGCTTTTCCTATCTTACACGGTTATGAACTTCACAGTTTTAACATCCGTCATAAATATAGTGCCCATCATATATACTGAACTTGCTTAATTGTTCTGATTCTCTTTCCCAAGTATGATGGGATATCTCTAATTTTTGCATTCTCAGCTTCAATGAACAAGCCAATGGTGTCCTCATTTACGCCATGTACGACTTTAAAGGAATTATAAAAATCCATGGATCACACACCCTTAGACTCTGTTTAAATGGTGGGATGCAGCGGTACTAATGTCTGCATTTCGTCTCCATGACATCTCATGAAGAGAAAATATGTAACATAAATACACAGATTACAAGAATCATGCCAGAAAACAAGGTTCTCAAATACGTTAACTGTCTCTACTCAAGAATAATTTTATTTTGGTTAAAAAAAAAAAAGTACTAAGAGTTGATACCCAACCAAGTGAGGGGACAGAAACGGAGCACCTGGCGCTTTGATGCCACAGCTGCTCATGAATGCGACCCCTGAATCTCTGCCAGTGCAGGAAGCACAGAACAGGAGCGGGAGCCTGGCAGAGACTAAAAGAAGAGATGAAGGTCTGGGGAGGTGGCTCAGTGGGCAAAGTTCTTGCCGTGCAAGTGAGAAAAGCTAAGTTCAAATCTGCAGACCCCACACAGAAGCCAAGCATGGAAGCCAGTGTCAGCAACCCCAGCGCTCCTACCCTGAGAGGACGTGGACATAGAAGTGTCCCCAGAAGCCCACAGACCAGCCAGTGTGCGGACAGCAAAGGGACTCTGACCCAAACAAGGTGAAAGGTGGACAGACCCCGGGAGACTCTCACACACACAAACACACAAGTGTGTACAGACATAACATCACACACACATACTTATACACACAGAGACATAACATACCCTCACTCACACACACATAGACATACAAACACTAAACGCCCTCACACACAAACGCACATAGATGTACAAAGATATTACACACATGTATGTACACACAGACACCAAACACACACATACCCTCACACACATATGTGTACAGACATAGACATCACACACATTATACACTAACACCACACACATACACACACACGGGGAGGGGGGAAGAAATCATAAAAAACTGCCAACATGGAAATACTTTCTTAAATTTGGATTATTTAAAATCGATCCCTGACCTCTTAAAAGAAAGCAGGAAGCATTGTGGAACCAATCTGAGTTGCCTGAGCTCATTCTCATTTCCTTTTTCTAAAGAGGATTGCGCATAGCTGGAGCATAGATCAAGAGGCGGCAGAAAAATCCCTGTGTTTGGTGGACTGCAGCAATTTCGTTGACCAAGTTTCCCATTGACCCAGACAGACATTAATGACACAAGATGGATAACAGAGCATGAGGCAACTAGGTAACTACGGAGCAGCCTCGACAAGGGCTCCTTCCGAACTGCCATCAGCAGCTCTATCAGCAGGCTTCAGGACTCTGTGGCCTTCCCTCTGAAACTACATTCTCAATAACTAGAGTGCAGATACAGGCTTTACTACAGGAGGAATGAGATACACACGTAAATACACAAACACCATGCAATCCAATAAGAGAGCCAAGACTAAAATCACAGTAGCCTAGAAAAATGGGCTAATCCCTAAGGTATCATCAGCACTTGTTTCCAAAGCCACGCATCCAGCTTTGAGAGGGACAAGCTGGGGATTAATTACCACCAGTTTTAAAGCTTACAAGCTTAGTCTGAGGGGGACAGCAGCAAGCCTGGTGCCATGGAGTCTGAGAAAGGCCAACAGGGTGCAGCTATGCGAAGGCAGAGCAGCACTCAAAGGTGAAAGGTGGCAGTCTTGGTCCACACTGGCCAGAGCAGAACTCGGGTACTTCTCACCTAACATGAGCACACGTGTTCAGAACAACCAGGATGTGTAGGTACATGAGAACTATTCTAAAGAGGAAGGACGGACAGAATGACGGTTCAGAAACAGCACAAAACAACAGCCTCAGTGGGAAATGGTGGCTGTCTCCACTAAGCCACTCAGTGAACATGAAGTTCAAAGCTGCTTCGGAAAAACCTACTTCCCTCGAGAATAGCCGGGAGGCAGAGGAAGAAGAACTATGTGTACAAGAAACTCTCAGTCTGCTCAAATATGCATATCTGGAGTGGAGATCACGATGGTTTGAGAAGAATGGGACTGCTCTGTAGGATTTAGGAAGAAGGGAGATAGCAAGAGGGTTCAGGGAGTCCCCCAAATCCACAAAGTTGTCCTCAGACCGCCACAAGTGCGTCACGGCTCATATGCACTTGCGCACGCACACACGATTTCATAAGGTACATGCGGGAACAGAGAAAAGGCTATATAAGGAGGACTGTGGAGAACAAGTCTCATTAATGAGGAAAAATCGGTTTGATTCGATGCACACTTCCCACGAGTCAACTCTACCTGGGAGGGATAGTGCTGAGGTAAGAAAGGCAAAGGCCGGGGCCATCTTAACTTCTCCCCATTCCACAGTATGAACGGGATGCTCGTAGGAGGTGCCCCCCACATCGAATTCATCATCCACCTGTGTACTTTAGCACCCACAATTTCCTACTCTGAAGTCACACTTGTGATGAAAAGCAGAAACTTTCTGTTTGGCCCCTTAGCAGAGGGAACAACAGCAAAACCAATGTTTGTTCTCTGTCCATGGACCTTGAATCAATAAGGGAAAAAGAGCAAAGATTTTCTATCCTTTAATTCATAACTTCTACTAAGATATTCAAATATTCTCAATGTAAATAAAGATTTGTTACATATTGCATCTCTTCTTGTGAGCCATTTGCTTCTGAATAACAGGAAAAATAAGTTTGATTGGAGATCACTTGGAAAATGTATCTAAAACACTTTAAAGCCCTCTAATCTAAGATTATGTGGAAACAGACTTCAGAAATGTTTCTAAAAAGAAATGATTCATCAGTGAGATTAAGCTAAATGCCGAAGTAATCAAATTGTGGAATTCTGATTAAATGGATACTTAAGTTTAATCTACTTAAAACTTGCAGGATAAATAGAAAGGGCCTGGTCTAGACTAGTTCTGGCTTGGCTCAAATGCTGTACTGGCTGTCTAAGGGGTTTGCTCTTCAAACTGTTCCTTTTAACTTCTTAGAAGCCATTCTGCAAACTTCGTCCTCAATCTAAATACAATAAATGAGATCACTTGGACTTCTATGGGCTCTTTCTGCTAAACAGCAGCCAAAAAGAAAAGGCAAGAAAGTGAAAGGGGCATGTCCGTGCCTACTCAAACCCCTGGAAAGGTTTCCTTGTCGGTGGCAGTCGCTCTGGTGGCTTTACCACCTCTAAGCAAGTATGTAAAAGAAAAAGCAAAGAAAACCAAACCCAGGATTCTCTGGGCCAGAGAGGTCCCCTTTTGTGACTACAGCTAGGCTCCCCCGGGATTTCCTCCCGTCGTCCCGGCACCGCCGGGCCGCAGGCGGGCGACCGCAGGCCGACGCGGTTCCACTTACAGTGACACCATCCCAGGTGACAGCACCAGTGCAGCTTGAAGCACTTGCCGTGGCTGTGCGTGGCACAGATGGACAGCCCGTCGCACGGCTGGAAGTCGGGTCGGCGGGCGGCGCAGCTCCGCGCCAGGGCCTGCGCCTCGTCCACTTTCTCGCTCTTCCAGCCGCGCTCGGGCGCCGCGGCAGCACTCATGTCTCCTGGCGCGGAGCAGGGGACCGGAGCCCGGGAGCGTAGCGGAGGCGCGGGGCGGGCAGGACGCGAGCGGGCTGCGGGCTGCAGGCGCGGCGGGCACCGGCTGGTGGAGGAGCCACCCCGGGAGGGCGCAGCGACTGGGCCTGGCCTGCCACCTCCCCGTGCCCTGGGTCCCTCCTCCTGAGTCCTCCTCCTAGCTCCCTCCTCCCTTCTTTCTCCTCTCCACCCTCCTCCCGGCTCCCACCTCCCTTCTCTCTCTCTTTCGTCCTCCCCGCTGCTCCCTCCTCTCTGCTCCCCCACCCCCTCGGGCCGCCACGCCTGCACGCGCACGCGCACTCTTAGGCTGCCGCGCCCCTCTGCGAGCCTAGCCCCCGCGAGTTGGTCTCACACGCCTCTTGAAGCGGAGGGAGGGCCACGAGGACGGTCACCAGGGTCCCTACACACACACACACACACACACACACACACACACACACACACACACACACACACACTCACTCACACACACACACGTCCCGCACGCGCCCGCCCGCCCTCTCGTGTGTGGGGGGGGGGGGTGGCGCTCCACGGCTCTGGCTACAGCTGGCTTCTCCCGCAGCCTTTCGGCACACAGTCCAGCCTGGTCCAGGCACTCCCTTCCCCGCGTGCCACAGCGTCCTGCGGGGTCCCGGAGCCGCGGGGCAGCAGCGGGCGGTGACCCAAGGCCCGAGACCTAGCGGGTTCTTCCCAGCGCTAGCCGCTCGGAACTAGTACTGGGCTAGGGTCATCGGGCGACTGGAGTGGGAGGATGTGTTAGGTTTGTGTCCTGATATATGGGATTGGGGCGGGGGTGTCCACTGAGTGGCTTGCAATGGCTATGTGTGGCCAGTGCGTGCAGTCGAGTGGTGCGAGAGGCACGGGGGAGGGGGAGTTGAGTGTGGACGCCACGGTGTGTGGAGCGCGATTAATTGCATGGGTTGAACATGGGTGTGTGTGGCGGCGTGGTGGGCTGGAATGGCGTAAAGACCTTATGCATGGAGTGTATGTGTGGCATTAACACGGACGTGGGCACACAGATGGGACTGCCTGGGGCCCAGCCTGGTCAGTGGGTGTGGCTGCCCAGGCTCCAGCTTCCTCTTCCACCACCCCAAGTCCGCTTGTTTGTCTTCCCTCCTGAGCACAACTTGTATCAAATACGTTTTCCATGCCGGGGAGCAGCGCTGGGAATTGGCTCTCCCTGCAACCGGGGCCAGGATCCAGCCTGAACACGGAAAGCAGGGAACGCCCTCCTTCTCAGCTTCCTTGCCAAATAATTCTCAGGTCCAGGAATTACCGAAGGTAATTACCGAAGGTCGGGAACAGAACCTCTCCGCACAGATGCTGGACTGGGACATGCTTATGTCCGGATCTCCTTTTCACTTTATTCTCTTCTGCTTAGCAATGATATCTAGCCTGGCTTTAAAGGAGATTCATCCTAAAGCCCTCAAAAATCTTTGCTGCCGTAAGCAACCTTTCATAATTTTCCCTTTTATTTAACCTTGGCTTAGGAGGGAAATCTAATTTGCATATGTCTGACTCCAGTGAAATCTTCACGTGTCAGGGACTGAGGGGGATCCAGATGGCAAAGGCTTTCTTCTAAGTCACAAACTCTGACTTCCCATTACCCTTACACTGAAACAGCATTAAACATAAGGTGTCGTCGCATCACCTACTTCCCAGGTGTCCACCCCTTCAGCCCCAAAGCAGCTCCCTGCTGACTCATAGTATCCATGCATCCCTGCTGTTAATATAGCCGTCTCAGAATAACTTCAGCAAGTGAAGAAATGCTAAAGGAACCCGCCCCGCATTATTGCTATATTATCTAATCATTTTTTTCTAAATTTTATGTATTGTGTGTGTGGCTGTTTTGCCTACATGCATGTTTGTACACCAGCTGCACACTGTGCCCTCCAGGGCAGAAGAGTACACCAGGTTCCCTGGGACTGAAGTTACAGGGGTTCGTTAGCTGCCAGGCCAATGCTGGGGATTGAACCCAGGTCCTCTGGAAGAGCAGCCAGTGCCCTTAACCTCTGAGCCTTGCTCTAGACCCATCAACCAGTTTTTTTTAACAATGGGTATATTCATCTGTTTTAATCTATTTTTCTCCCCCAACGTATAAACTTCCTCTAATACCAGGCATATCATATAAGGCCAAATAACAGGACCTTCCAGGAGGGCGTACACAGCCTTTATTACAGACTGAAACACGAGATTCCATTCATTAGGAAGCATGCTGACACAATTTTTTTAGAGCAATGGGACTATTCCTAGCCAAGCCATGCATGCCCCAAAGACCTAAGATGCCAGACACTCACAGCCATCAAAGGTCAGTCTTGACAAGGGCTGTGACTTCACTATTTGGCTGTCATGCAACAGTTCGAATCTTCAGGTTCAAATGTGACGAGCTGAATGATTTGTTCCTGTCATAGTGTGCCTCTCTGTCTACTGTTAACGTAAGCCGTCTTTGGACACCAACCCTCTGAACATTTACAATCTGAATCTTTGCGAACAGGTTTTGGTTACCTAACCAAGCAACCAAGTATCGTGGTTATAAATAAGCTACCAGCGATCTGTTAGTCATATTAAACCAATCACAGGGCTGCCAGGGATTGGGGGAGCAGCAGCTTCCAACACAGTGCAGCTAAACTGGGAACCGCCTGTCAGGAAGGAAGAAGTCTGTTCAGCATGGCCATTAGCACAGCTTGGACTCAGCATTTGCTCCAGGGTCAAGGTAATAGCAGCATCTTTAGACTCAGACACAGCCACGCTTTCCTGAACCACTGCAGGTGCTCCCTAGAAGTCCCTCTCCCGAATTGTTTTCTATCTCTAGTAAAACGCTGACCAGACGCAACTTGGGGCAGAAAGGGTTTACTTTATCTTAAACTTCTGTGTTACAGACCGCCGCTGAAGGAAGTCCTGAGTGGAACTGAAACAGAACTGGGCAGGGACAATGCTCACTGGCTTGTGTCTCCACGCCTTGCCCAGCTTGCCTTCTTATACAACCAAAGACCACCTGCCCAGAGCAGAGCTGCCCACATCGTTCATTAATCAAAAAAAAAAATGCTCCCACAGACTTGCCTACAAGCCAATGTGATGGAGGCATTTTCTCCATTGAGGGTCCCTCTCCTAATGTCCTGAGCTTGTGTCAAGTTGACAAAAAACAACCAGCACAGTTCCTTTTTTCATAGTATCTCAAACATTCACAACCAGAGACTAAATTCCTCCCACCCCTCCCTCCAGGGTGCTGAAGAGAGACTGTCCTTCGTTAGTTTCTGTTGCTGTGAAGAGACACCAACCGCAGCAACTCTTAGAAAGAAAACATATAATTGGGGTGAATTACAGTTCAGAAGTTCAGTCCATCATCATCATGCTGGGGCATGTGGCGTGTAGTCAAGCATGGTGCTGGAGAGTAGCTGAGGAAGTGCTCTGAGACACTGGGCATGGCTTGAGCATGTATGAGACCTCAAAGCCCGCCTCCAGAGTGACACACTTCCTCCCACAAGGCCACACCTACTCCAGCAAAGCTACTTACTCCAGTAGTGCCACTCCCTTTGGGGGCCATGTTCTTTCAAACCACCACAACAGCTGTTGACTAAGACCCTCTAAAGCAGTCTAGCAGGTACTGTTAATTCCCAGTGCCTGGATAGACGCATCAGAGGCATACGACGAATAGTGTTAAATGGACACATCAAAATGTTCACAGCTGTGCTGGAGATGTAGTTCAGTGGTAGATGTGAAGACAGCTGAATTGGAACCCCAACACACGGCAGGGTGGGGTGGGGTGACAGATTTTCTAAGGTGTTTAGTAAGTCAAAAGACCTGACTTTTAAATCCAAAATCCCCAGCATGAGCAGGTTGCTTTGAAGCCTGTAGAGATCACGTGGTACCTTGTCCTAAGTGACTCCATATTGTATAAGACAGTGGTTTTTCTCCAGGTTCCTTGCGCCGAGAGGCTCCATTGTACGCCACTTATGACTCCGTTTTGAGGAAGGCGGTGACTCTGCATCTGGGCAGCCCAGTGTGTTTATCAGGGTGACCTGGGGCTGTGAGAGCACATGGACTGTGGTGGCTTGAATAAGAAGGGCCCCTCAGCCCCCAGATTTGAATGTTCAGTTTTCCGTGGATGGACTATTTAGGAAGGATGAGGAGGTGTGGCCTTGCTGGAGTGATGTTGGAGAAGCACATGTGTGTGCTCCCTGCACAGATACAGACACAGACACATGCATAAAAGCACGAGGGACTTTAAAACAGAAATGAAACCAGCCTTAACCAGCCCATTTCAGGAAGCACTGGGAGGTTGTGTCTGTAAAGAACACTCTAGAATACAATGACTCAGATTATAAATGAGGCAGCTGATGAAGTCAACAGCCCACAGTCAGCACCTTACGGACACCCAGTGTCCCAAACCCTCAGATACAATTCAGTACCCACAGAGTGCCGTCTAGCCCCCACAGTCTCGTTGGTCTAGCTTCCTCCTCTGCGGAGAAGGGAGTTCCCAAAGTTACAAGACTCACAAGGTCTCACAACTGCAGTGAAGGGGAGACTCTCTGATCAACTCAGCTGACTGCAGGGTCTTCAGGGAGCTCCAGGGATGCAGCTTTTGTGACTCCTCACTTATACTGGGCTGGGCTTTTCGGTGATACAGCTGCCTGTGAGGCACCCATGCTCCAGCAAGGATGCCCCAGGAAACTCACTGGCTTGCTAAGCGACTTCCGCAGAATCCTTTCTCTAGTTAGTCCCGGGTGCTCTATCACCCCATCCCTGGGTGAGGAGATGCTATTTCCTGTCTCCCCAGGGAAAGTGACACAGCACCCTAAGTTTGCTAGAAACAATTTAAAGGGGCTACCTAAAGCAAGCCTAGGATTATAAAAGGTAATTGCTTATTTTAGGACCCAACCATGGTAAGTTTAATAGGAAGTGCTTAACTTCCAGTCATTATCACCTACCAGTGTAGGACCCAGCCAGGATAAGCTTAATGGAGACCTGAGTCTCAGTTGTTTACTCTGAGATAATACCTGGAAGAAGGAAGGACTGCAAACTGAGATTACCCAGGCACCACCCAAGAACAGGCCATCCAAAGGAAATTCCTAATGTTCCAACCATTGTAGACAGGATCACCTGCCAGCACACACTCACCAGGGCACCCCTAGACAAATATCAACCAATCAGGGGTCCTGAACCTTAGAAATCCCTCACCCCCACCTTTCCTACTATAAAAACCCAACTCTAACTGAGCTCAGGGCTCTCCAT